TCTCTCCTCTTACATCCTACCACCCCTCCCTTCTCACTCACTCTAATCCTGTCTCATTATTCTCCTTCCTGTTCTTTGAACATACCAGGAACATACCTCAGGGCCTCTGCAGTTGCTGTTGCCTCCACCTAGAACACTCTTCCCGAAGATATTGGCCTGGTTAGCTCTCTCACTCCTTTCAGATTTTTTCAAGTCACCTCAAAGAGGCCTTCCCTGCCTACCCTATCTAAATTTTCATATTCACATGCCTTGGAATTTCACGTTCCCCTTCTTTGCTATATTTTTTTTGTTTTTTCTTGTTATCATTAAGATACTAGCCCTTGCCCCACTTGCCTTTTTTATTTGTATTTATTTCCTGTTTAGAAATGTAAGCTACATAGGGCAGGTACTTTTTACTATTTTGTTCACTGTTCTATCACTAGTGGCTAGAACAATGCCTGAGACACAAGTTCTCAATAAATATATATTCAATGACTTGATTAATCAACCTACATATAGGCAGAAATCAAAGCTATAGCATAGATGAAAGCCTCACAAAGACTGCAGAGAGAGAAGGGATGTGGGTTAAGAACAGACCCTGGTGAATACCACCGCACATGAAAATAGCAGTTGATCCCATGGAGGACTAAATAGGAATGCTATTGAGTTGAATATGAGAGTAAATCTCATTATTAATGATTTCACTAAACTCTTTTCTAACAAACTAGAATATTGAGCCTGACATTCAATTCAATGACACAAAAGAAAAAGAACTGAGAAAGCTCAGCACCTATCACATAAGACTGAAAGAATTTTTTAGGATGACTCTCTGGAATATTACATTTCAAGGACTCTCTAAGAAGGATATCGTGGAGGATCGCAAAGGAATCCTCATACTGTGTGATGGTGCACACCTGGAATTTCTATCAGGTTATTATATAAGGAATTTGATAACTTAAAAACTAAAACGTGAATCCTAACTCACAGAGAGGATCCTTATGCACTGCAAATAATTTGCAGTAGGTACAACGATAAGTGCAAAGCAAGCATGTGTTTCCTCCCCAAATGCTAGAGGAACCCAGCATTGGGGTGGGATGAGTCCTCAGTGAAGAGATCTAGGCAGTCTTGACGGAGTGTGTGGAATTCAAGCTTGACTGTGAGGAATGAGTGAGACTGCCAAATGCAGAGTATAAAGTGCATATGCAGTAGGGGAGGTAGGCAGTAGGTAGGGGCTATGAAATGGGATATGAATCTAGAAATGTAGGTTTAGGCTTTGGCTAAGAGCCTTAAATGCCAGATTCATACTACTGTATTAGGAAACCACTAAAGATTTTTGAGAAAAGGATATAAGCATGATGACACTGGCAACAAAAAAGAAACGTCAAATACATTTTTCTGTTCTAATGAACCAACATGACTCCAAACATTTTGTAAATTAATTCATTTTGCCAGCTCCAGTGGCTTAAAACTTTTCAATGACTTCTCGTTGTTCTTAGAATAAAGACACACACCTTTATCACAACCTGTAAGATTCATACATAGCTCGATCTCCACTGTCTGCTCCCACCACGCTGCCCTTGCTGTCCCTGCTGTAGCCACACTGACCTTGTCTAAGCTCCCCTCCCACTATACCTCTCCTACCACAGGGCCTTTGCATCTGTTGTCCCATCTGCCTGGAAAGCTTTCCCCACTCCTCTTTGCCTAGTTAAATCATAATTACTCCTCTTTTTTCAGACCACAGCTCAAGCATTCCTTCCTGAGCTAAACTCCCACTAACCTCTCCACTTATATGCTATCACATACTATGTATTTCTCCATTTCAGCTCTTACTACTTAATTAGTTGTAATTCTTTGATTAACATGTCTCCTTTACTAGGCTGAAAGCTCATTTAGAATATTTTCCTCCCTAGCTGACAACTGCATACCCAGTGTCTGCACATAAAAAGTACCCAGTAACTATTTGTGGCAAGGAAAAGAAAAAAAAGTCATTTGGATGCCCATATTGGCCAGCAGCACCTCTCCTACCCTCCACCACCCATCGCCCCCCTGCCAAAAAAAAAGAAAGAAGGGCCGGCCCGGTGGTGCACTGGATAAGTGCGCCGCTTGGGAAGCGCGGCGGCGCTCCCGCCCGAGGGTTCGGATCCCGCATACAGACCGGTTCCCGCTCACTGGCTGAGCGAGGCGCGGGAGCAGCACCGAGGGTTGCGATCCCGTTGCCGGTCCCCGGTCCGGTACGGGGGCAACACTGAGGGTTGCGATCCGTTGCCGGACACGGAAAAAAGATAAAAGACAAAAAAAAAAAAAAAGAAAGAAAGAAAAGTCAGTACACTATCAGTCTTTTTTAAGGAATCAGATAATGTAGTTCTATAACTCATTCCATCCTCTACTGTCTTAAGCCTTTTAGAGCTTGTCCAAGATCACATGGCTTGTCAGGATTCAAACCCAGGCTTGTATAAAAAAATAAAAATAATTTTTAAAAATGCAAGTATGTTTTCAGTTATAGTCTGCGTGAGCGTGGAAGAGGGAAGAAGGCCAAACAAGCCTTCTCACAAGTACAAGTGTGTTTCAATTCTTTTTCAGTATATAGGTCATCAAGTCTCACTTACTTAAAAGCTTATAAACCTGCAAGCAAAGGCAGCAGATTGTTTTTCACTATCCTTTCTGGGAAAGGTCTTGCTTATATGGTGTTTTTTCACTCCACTTCCTCTTCTTATATGGGATTTGTGACACATAATTGAACTCAGAAAAACAAACCTGAATTGAGCACCTCTATGCGAAGGCACCTAAGGCTGATGAACAGACATGTTATAGTCCAACACCAAGTTCCTCTGTCCTTACAATGGCCAGTCCTGTTTGGTGGTTCAAACACTCCCTTCTAGATAAAGTAGTAACTCATGGCTCAGCATGCCATTAGCATTTCTTCTGTGAGTTTGGGTACATCATTTAACTTCTCTGAGCCCTCAGCTATTTATAGAGTGGGAGTTATGTAACTACTGGACTCAAAAAATACTCAGCACCTAACTCTGAAACTCAAAAAATACTCAGCACCTAACTCTGTGCCTGGCATTTTTACATACACAATTTCAACTAGTTTTGACGATAATCCCATGAGGTTAGAAGTGCTCACTTTGAGGGGCCGGCCTGTGGCTCGCTTGGGAGAGTGTGCTGCTGATAACACCAAGGCTATGGGTTCGGATCCCTATGTAGGGATGACTGGTTAGCTCACTTGGGAGAGCGTGGTGCTGACACCACCAAGTCAAGGGTTAAGATCCCTTTACCAGTCATCATTTTTTTTTTTTTTTAAAAAGAAATACTCACTTTGTATTATGGGGAAACTAAAGCAAGTATAGTTTTCAACTACAAAACTATACAGTTTTAAGAATGTTAAGCAATTTGTTACATTAGAGAGGAAGAACTAGAACCTAAGCTAAGATTTTAAGAGTGATAAATTAATTAGCAAAGAGCAGATTATTTATCTACTAAGAGCAGTAATACTTTCTATACTTCAAAAATTCTCAATTTAAATCTGAAAAAAGAAAATAATTGAAAATGGACAAAGGGCCTGAATTGATATGTCTCCAAAGAAATATGAATGGCCAATATGCACATGAAATGATGCTCATCATTAGCCATTAGGAAAATGTAAATCTGAACCCCAGTGAGATATTGCTTTACACTTCACACACTAGGATGTCTATAATCAAAACGACAATAGCAAATGTTGCCAAGGATTTAGAGAAATTGGAACCCTTATATACTGCTGGTGGGAATGTAAAACACGCAGGTGCTGTGGAAAATATTATGGCAGTTCCTCAAAAGACTAAACATAGTTACTGTATGACCCAGCAATTCCATTCTTAGGTGTATACTCATGAGAACTGAAAATACATGTAAAACAAGTACATGAATGTTCACAGCAGCATTATTCATAATAGGAAAAAGGGGAAACAAAGTAAATGTCCACCATTTGATGAATAAACAGAATGTGATATACCTATGTGATGGAATGAACATAAAAAGGAATGTGGTACTGACGCATGTTACAACACGGATGAACCTTGAAAATATTTTGCTAAGTGAAAGAAGTCAGTCACAAAAGACCACATATTGTACAATTCCATTTATATAAAATGTCCAGAATAGGCAAATCCATAGAGGTCGCCTAGGGCTGGGTAGTGGTGATTTCAGGGGTACAAGGTTTCTTTCTGGGTTAGTGAAAATGTCCTAAAATTGATTGTGGTAATGGGTTGCCCAGCTCTATGAATATACTAAAAAGCACTGAAATATACATTTTAAATGGGTAAATTGTATGGCATGTGAATACCTCAATAAAGCTGTTTTTTAATTTTTTGTGTGTTGTTTACCAGTATGGGTATCGCAACCTTTGGCTCGGTGTCGTCCATCCCTATGTAGGATCCAAACCGTGGCCTCGGGGCTACCAGAGCAGCACTCTCCTGAGTGAGCCACAGGGCCAGCCCAAAGACATTAAAAAAAAAAAGTTCTCTAAGTTTGCCATAAACTGCACCTGCAGTACTAGGCACTTACTAAAGTTTACTTTCAACCAAATGGATTTTTCTTATCACTGCCTAACAGTTGTTAGGGTTCTGATATTTCTGTTGCACTTGCATTGTAATCTCTGAATATGCTTCACAGAGACGACTTACAACAACTTTTAATTTTAGGACCTAAAAATGAAATACTAACAGATATAATACTAAGAATTCAGTAAAAGGATGTCTGAAGATCTATATATTGCATCAACATCTATCCACTTAACCAAGAAACCTAAGAATCATTCCTGTGTTCTCCTTCCTTCATGCCTTGTATCCACTTCATCAGCAGGAAACTCTGTTTATAAACTCCATACGGGTAGGATTTTCTGTCTGTGCACAATGGTATCCCCAGTGCTTAGAATACTACCTGGCACACAGAAGATGCTTAATTAACATTTGTTGAATAAATGAATGAATTTATGCTCTAATTGGAATTAGCACCTTTAAGAGAAAAGAAAATTAAATTTCTCACTTGATAATTTGTTAATATATTTTTTTGAAACAAAAACAAAAACATAGACAATGGCAGTTTCATTTGCCATTCTAATTGTTGAAACATATTAAGGCTAAATTCTTAAAGGGACACAGGTATGCTATACTGCCAGAATATGCAGAACATAACTTTATTCAAGTTAGCTCTTATTACCTGACCCATGAATATTTAAAAGATACTTCGTTTTATAAAAACTTACGGCTGTCAGTAACAGATTGACCATAACACAGGGCTTAGCCTGGAATACATGGAGAGGCTTAGGGGCCCATGAACCCCTAAAATTATATGCAAAGTCTAACATGTATATTGGCATGTATATCTTTTTGGTGAGAGAGTTCATAGTTTAATCAAATTTTCAAAGTAGTCTATGACCGAAGAGAGGTTAAAAAATTACTTAACTAGAAACAAAGTCACCAAGCTTTTTAAAACATGAATTTGTACAATAAAATAATATCCAATAGCTCCATCTACGGGTAAGTCTTTATCACTAGTAGAAATATTGACAACCACCAGAGATCAGTGTTATCTTATGAATGCTTGTGTTTAAATCTTTAATGTCACTCTAGAGGGAATTTATTAATTATAGTATCACAGCATTTTTTTCCAGATGTAGATGCAAAAATTAGGAGCCTTGATGAATTCTACTTACAGTACTTCAGCACCAAAAAATTGGGCAGTTATGCTGATATATGTATGTACAGTTCAACATGTGTCAGTCTTAAAATGCTTGTTTATAGTGAAATCTATATAAAACCGTTAAAAATTTTTCTATTTACATTTTTTAAAAGTGAAAAGTATAGTTTCCTTTGCCACAACTTGCCAAAACTGATTCTTACCCTCCCACCCTCTTACCCTCACTCCACTTGTGACAGCGATCACAAGACGAAAACATATTGTTTAAACAAACTGTGTCCTAAAAAGGTAGAATGCTTTAAAAATGTTACATTTAGAACTGTAAATGAACTTTTTTGTACATTTCAAAGTGGCTTAAACAAAAGTATGTAAAAGTTATTTTCAAAGTCTCAGTCCAACATGAATGTGCAATTTCAATGCTAAGAAAGCATCATATGAAAGAATAATTTGTTTTCCTTAACATAACTGAATACTTCCTTTGGGCCAGAAAATGTTTCTTTTCCTCTGCTTCACAATGAAATATTTTCTAGTAAGTTTTCTTAAAGCGGGGGGTGGGGGGTGGGGGGGGGGGACAGGGAGGGGGAAAGAGTAGGCAATCCTGGTTTACAAGAAAATCTGTAAGAAGGAATATGGCCTGCTTTGAAATGTTAACGCTTAAATAAATAGAAGGCAAGTATGCTGCCCAGAGCACAAAGGAACAACACCACAATAAATTAGCAAACAACTGCTGAGAATGTACAAGCCACCCCAAAAGCACTTCCCACTGGTTAGGGATCCGACTCCTACCATCCAGCAAGGATTCTTTAATGCGAGTATTTTTCTAGATATTTATAAACTAATTATGAACTGAGCAAATGTAAAATGTTAACCAATTCAACACTTCTGAGGATTTGCAAAAACATACAAGATTTTTAAAAAACTGTTCCTGACACATCATTTCAAAATACAAACTATTCACATTCTCCTTTTTAGACGGTACTTTGCTCAGTAGAAACCAGCTGAGGAACATTCACAGGAAAATTCTCTTTCTACTGCAAGACAAAACTTTTCCATCAGCTATGGTCCAACAGAGAAAGAATATCAGGTCTTATAAGAAGTCATTGTAGATGGGCATCTACTTCTTTTTCCTTTTTTTTTTAAAAGTACGTTCCCCTGTGAGTTTTAACCTGTTTTAAAATGCTGCTCCTGCAGCAATATCTTGTTGAAACACTGCTGTTTCAGGGTCTACAGCCTAAGTATGGGCAAAGTGCTCTTTTTAGACATCAAAATACAAGGTTTTCCCTGGACACTTGGTAACCAATCAGGTTTTAAAGTGCACTACTGTGTCCAAAACATTAGGACCGTTCAGCAGAACTTTGAGAGGGGCTCAGCTCAGTTCCGTCCTCCGTGCTGCTGTCTACGTCCTGCTCCATTGCTGTCTCATCATCATCCAGCTGCTGACTGGTGAAGTTGTTTAGCTCAAGAAGCCCACTGGGCTCCACTACCACATTGGAGCCAGAGTGACACGGAATAGCATACTGGGGAATGGCCTGGAAAAGAAGACACAGGAGAGAATCTTTATGGTAAGAAAAAGTAACAGAAGGATTTCCCCAACAATACTAAGGAAGGAAAAAAGAAAACTGACATTTATTGGACAAGTAATAGATGCCAGGCACTGTGCTAGGTACTTTCAAAAATGATATTCTACGAAATCCCTGTAACAACACTATAAAGAAATTATTATTCACATTTTACAAATGAGGAAACTGAGTGGGTAAGTGACTTAATCAAGGTCACACAGTTGGTCACAGTTACTGCCAGGATTCAAATCCAAGTCTTGCACAACTCAAAGTGATCTTTCCACTCCTTTACGGTGTCTCTTCTAACAACAGAGGCTGAATGAAGTCTGCGCCTAATTCAAGAGACAGACTGAAGAATACTTCCATTTGATTACTAAGCAAATCTAAATGTAAATGTAGTCAAATTTTGTTCTTTATTATCTGCAAGATGAATGATTAATTTGCTGATACCATAATATGAGGGAACTGCAAAAAGATCATGGAAAGATTCATATTATCTTTTAATTCTATTTGTCCACGAAACTTCTGAAATACCCCCACATATTTCAAGCCTCTCTGGTGGTTCAAAGGGGAAGTTAATAAAAGTCTTTACTGAAAATGAGAGTAGTGAAAGCATTCAAGTACAAGGGAGGCCAAAACTTGCCTTTTAAACAATAAGAGAACCAGTAGATGAACACTTGCTGTGGACCTCTGAATAAGTAAATATTATAGGCATATTGTCTTGTCAGATTGTTTTTTCCTCATCTTTATTAGACATCTTTTTAAAAGTGTATCAGTTCATGTCATCAACATGCTTAAAACTCTACACTTGTTTTCTATTGTACTTGCTATACATCCACCTCCCTACCACAGCTCCAGCCTCATGCCAAACTCACTTGTACCTGAGAGCTTTTGCACTAGAGTTCTTCCCTTTTCTTGGAAAACTTTTCCTCTAAATCTTTGCATGGCTGGTTCTATCCTGTCACCTGCATCTTAGCTCACATGCTTAGGAGTCAAAGGCTTAGAGAAGTCTTCCTTCCATGACCACCAAACCAAAAAGTAATAGGTTGGTCCCACCCCCCACATCAATAACATTCTGTTACATTTTCTTCATTGCATTATAATCTGTTTGTTAAATTGTTTCTCACTCTTAGAATGTAAGCTCCATGACAGCATAAGCAGTACAGATCTTGACCACCTTTATTCATTGCCAGATGCCCAGAGCTTTGAACAGGGCCTGGCACATATTAGATGTTCAATAAACATTTGATAAATGAATAATACATTTCTAACACTAAAAATCCCAGAGCAAAGTCAATTATCGGCACTTTGCAAATATACCTGACCAAAATAACCTTTTACTGGGTGAAGCTGTAAATTTAGTTTTAACACTATCAAGAAAATAATGCAAAATGCCTAGGCACTGATTCTAGGTGGCAGAGTTTTATTTGTTTGTCTCCCTCCCCTCCCCTTCCATACCGTGGATCATTGTGAAAAATTATTACATGGGGTCAGGAGACCTGGAATTTAGTTCAGCTCTGGCTCTGACTTGCTGTGAGCCTCTAAGTAAGTCACTCCACTTCTCTGAGCCCTAGATCAATCTTTTGTAAAACAAGATAGAGGAGATATGCTCTAAAGATCCTTGCAGTTCTAAAAGTCTATGAATTCCAATATATAGACTCCCACATGATAGAAGATATATCTATGTTTTTTACTTCCCTATCCTCAGCACTCAGCACAGTGCCTGGAACACAGTGGTTAAATAATACATGTGGAATGAATGAATGAATGAATGAATGAATGAATGAATGAATGAATGAATGAATGAATGAATGAATGAATGAATGAATGAATGAATGAATGAATGAATGAATGAATGAATGAATGAATGAATGAATGAATGAATGAATGAATGAATGAATGAATGAATGAATGAATGAATGAATGAATGAATGAATGAATGAATGAATGAATGAATGAATGAATGAATGAATGAATGAATGAATGAATGAATGAATGAATGAATGAATGAATGAAAGAAAGAAAGAAAGAAAGAAAGAAAGAAAGAAAGAAAGAAAGAAAGAAATACAAATTGTCTGTCTATAAAGAACAATGTTTCCATTCAAAATATTTAATATCAAACATGTTCAATTTTTACAGAGCATTCTTTAAGGAATCAAAGCACTTCGCAGACTTCCTTCACTCATCCCCATATGTATTTTACTGAATCAGTAAAATCAATACTTCACGTCAAGCTAAGCATAACTAATAAAAACTGAAAATGTCCTAACAAAATAGTAATGATGACTATAATAACAGCAACTATCTTTATTGATGTATTTGCTCTACATCAGACATTTGACCAGGTGCTCTACATACATTTTCTCACTGAATCCTCAAAACAACTCTGTGAGTTAGATACTATTGTTTCCATTTCATAGGTAAAGAAACTGAGGTACAGAGGTTAACTCAGTTGCTCAGTGCTGTTACATAATGAGTACAGGTGAAAATCAAATCTAGGGATCTCTGGCTTTAAAAGCTTGGTTCTTAATCACTCTGCTGCCCTGCCCTCTGACACAGCATACCTAGCACATAGGAATGCAAAAAGTTAGATGAGAATTCTGTAGAGAACCTACTCATTAGCCATCATCCTTGCTATATGAAGCAAATTACATTTTCACTCCTGTTCATGAAGTACAGAAAAGTAACTTCTAAATAAGCTATCCAAAATTATTTTCAATTTAGTGAATATACCGATCTAAACCCCCCACAGTCACAGTAAATTTTAGTAAAAATAGTAATAGTTATTATCTGTTGAACAATCACTATGAGTCAGGTACTATGTTAGGTGATTAATTTTGTGTAATCCTTACATCAATCCTGTAAAGTAGGCATTACTTATTCCTATTTACTGATGAGGAAACTAAGGAAGAGTGAGGTTAAGTAGCTTTGCCCAAGTCATAGTGAATGGCAAAGTCAGGAAACCATTCCTTCTCCACCATACCCTAACTCTTCAGGGGAAAAATTTTAAAATTGCAACAAATTCTTTTGTCAAGGATAATTTAATTCACATATATTTGGTTTTACAAAGGGGAACAAATTATTTGAATAATTCGATGGCCACTTCTACCCACATTTAAGCATTTCCCCCATACTTAATTATATCTTAATTGGTTTAATACTGGTCAATTTGCATTCTCTCATAACTTGGTATCATGGCAAATGGAAAGTTTACTACAAGAAATTCCAAGTCATACAACAGTGAATCTATGGCAAATACTAGACTATCCACATTTCAAGAAATCCAAATTCTCAATTAACTAAAATGTGCTGCTCTGATACCTTCAAAGCTATGCATTAGTTTAGCAAAAAAATTTACAAATGTCAAGAAAACAACCTGATAGGAGAAAGGGAAATGAAACACAACTTCTAAGGGCTAGCTTGGACTCAGTAATTCTTTAGTCTTGATCTATTATGCATGATGACAGATGACTTTTAGAATGAAGGGAATGTGAGGCATAGAAAGATCTACTGTCAACAAGTAATTCCATTATGTTAACTAGTCTGTACTTACCAAGGAATGACAGTACCATAATAAGATTTTTAAAACAATAATTGAAATAAAAAGCAAAGTTTACAGTTAATCCCAAATTAGATATAAAATTAAATTATTTAGAAATAGCCCCTTAGAACACGTTTCTTCAGATATTCCAGTTAATTGAGGTTTCATTGTCCTAAAAACCAATTTGGATCAAGAACAAGAACAGTTTTTCCAAAGAAAGGGTCCCTAAAATTAACTTGAAATAGAAGTGCAATCCAGTTACATTCCAAGATTTTTTAAGCAAAGATTGGAGAGCCCAAAATTTGAACCCAGGAGACTGCTTATCTTCCCGATTGACTTGCTGAGTTAACATGCTGGCAAGTATGGCTTGCATCTTCTAAAATCAAGGTGATACATGGGCTCGGGCTCTTTATTGCCTGTATAATGCGCTGAGGGCCAATATACATCAATTTCCTATGATTCTCTTCCAGAAAATAAATACATTTATTTTTATATATTTCTAATAGGTATTAAACCAAATTTGTCCAACACCATCTTAAAGATAATCTCTATGTCTTCTTGCCATCTTGGCTTGACTCTTAGCCTGTAACATCCCAAAACACACCAAACCCACAAACCCCATGGTGCCCAAGATTTCTTATTTTCCTTCCAATTCTTACCTGGATGATAATTTCTGCTGGGCTCTCTTCGACTTTCTTTTGGCCTACATTCTGAATACGCATGAACTGGCCTGCCGTAGGCACTCCTGGTGCATCGATTTTCCTTGTCGTTAGGGGAGGGCCAACAGCAGATGGACTTGAACAGGACTCTCTACATTTCTGTTGCTGGGGAGTGGAATTCGTCATCCCTGCCACCACCATGTGAGTGGAAGGTAATGATCCTGCATCACCAGTGAGCATACTAGTGGCAAGAGCCTTCTTTGGGGGATCCACTACCATATGCTCTACATTTGTATCAATCTGAGCTTCCATCAAAGACATTTTCAAAATGTCTGATACTGCTGTCTTCTCAGAGGCCTGAATGGGAGATATGCTTGTAACTGGTGATGTCAGCTTAGGCACAGAACTGCCACCAGTTATCTTTGTAACTGTGGGAGGCTGGCGCCCCTCAAAAGTTATCTTTGTAACAGTGGATCCTTGGGTTATAATTGGCTGCTCCACCTGAAAATAAATTGGGGTTGTGTGTGTTACAGCTACATCTCTTTGAGAAAACCTAATCAAACACCCAAGACAATATGGCAAAAGAAACATTCGTGCTGTATATTAGGAAGACATTTTGAAGCTCGGTGTTTTAATAAGAGGGCTGGATGGGAAGGATCTGGTTACTTTTAAGGAATCTAAGGAAAGAGGAGGGGTTGAAAGAACCTTTGTTCAGCCAGACAAATTTTATAGCAATAAAGGAAAAAAAGTCACTGCAGCCTAGTTTTCCTTTGGGATTTACATCACTAAACAGTACACTTTTAACCTGGCTCAAATTGTTTCATATAATCTTCAGTTTTTTAAAATTAAAGAAAGGGTTTTTTTCCAATCTTTTGCTTCAAAATACATTTATAAAAATGTATTTTATATATATATATTTATAATATACATATGCACATATATCACTCCATAGCCACTGATTTCTTTCCGTTTTTTGCTAATTTCTTTCTGTTATCCAGATAATTCCTCTGCAATTTAGAAGAATAAATCTACTAACTAAATGGCGATGACGTAAATTACAAAGGAAGATGTTCAATAATGTTCCTTAAAAGACTGCAGTTTACTTAGCATTATTGCCACAGAAATAAGAGTTTATAGGCATGGAAATAAATATTTTATATCTAAAAAATAAAAATAATTTAGGAATATCATTTCTATGTACCGCTGGTCAATGCTGAAGTGATTTCATTAAAAACTGCCTGGAAAATCAAGTTTTGAGTGCTATGCTTTTTAAAATTTCCTATATTAACATGTGAATTTCTTCCCTAATGTCAACCTTCTGATGGGGCAAAGTAATACCAGTGTAATGAGGTTTTTTGGTTTCCTCTTGCCAGGAGAAAGCACTGCTATCGTGATAGGGTTGTGATGTTCTCATTTTTTTCCTTCAACAGAGAAGTTTAACTTTGCATGCTATCAATATTCTGTTACCTGGCTTGCCGGCTGTTTCTCTGACGAGGCTGGGAGCGACATTTGGCTCTGGGGGGTTTGGGGTTGCACGTAGATTTTTGGTTGGTTCGGAGCCTGCTGCAGTTTAGGGAGCTGCTGCGTGGTTTTCACTGCAAGCACCTGTACTACAGTTTGTGGGGGCTGTGCCATTAAGGTAGGAAGCTGCCTGTCTTTGGCCACCATGGGATGCTGTGTGTGCTGTACATCTGGCTTAGGCTGTGCTTGTTCTTGCTGGAGAGGGGTGAGTTTTTGATGCCTGATGGAAAGCTGGGGCATTTGCGGGAGTTTGTGCTGGAGCTGGTCTGCCTGTAGGTGGATGGTCTGCTTCTGTTTAGTCTGGAAGCACTGCAGAGTTTTCACTTGCAGCTGAGGCTGTTCCAGCTGGGGCTGGCTAAGTTTCTGCTGCTTAGCTGACTGTGACTGAGTCAGAGCAGATCGGTAAAACAGACCTGTCTGAGGGTCTAAAGTGTCCATCTCTTCAACCTCGCCCTCCTCAGTTCCAAGTTCCTCGCTGTGTTTGGTAAAAGCAGTGTGACTGCTTAATGCCTAGTAAAAAAGGCACAAAGTAAGAATGAAATAAGAAAAACACCTACATTGCTACATTTTCCTCAAACTGGAGCAGACTTGGTTATGAGATTCATTCTAAAAAGACCAAGAAACCTCAATGGGGCTTCATATCAAAACTCTTATAATTTCAACTCTCAGACATTAAGTACTTCAAAAACTGGTCTACTCAGTACTATAGGAAAAGTCCTAAAGGGCCCAGAACTCACTGATTAGAGGAATAAGGTGGCTCTACAAGCACAGCCCAACAAAGCAAATAATAATAATAATAATAATTCCCTGGCTCAGGAAACAGCTCTCCAGTCTCCAGCCATTAGCGACATTAACCTGTCTAAAGAAAGAATGCAGCAACAAAGGAGTGAGGTGTCCAGACAAAAGCCAAAGCTCAGAAAGCTCACTTCAGCCATGTGCATGCCCAGTGCTGTCCAAAAGGTCAGGGATGTTGTCTGAGAGATGTGCCCATCCCAGTCTCTCCCTCTGCGGGCAGGGGTAGGGGTGGGGGGTGGAGATCTTCATCAGGCTTCACCAAGGTCTGTGTGAACAACCTCTTGACTAGCCCTCCTTGCCCCTTTGTTCAGATTCCAGATACCAGGCCATGGCTTCCCAGAGACCTGGCTGCTGGGATGGAAGGAGACTGGGGAGGAGACAAGAGCATTTCTGTCCATGGAAAGGGAGACTGCGTGGTGTCAGTTATAGTAGTGTCAGGAGGAGGCATCATCCTGAGTGACATGGTTGGGGCCAGCCTGTCTGACATCTCCAGGTGTCCTGAGAAAGGTCAATGTCAGGACCTTCCAAGTGAAGGTCAGACTCCAGGCTGAAACTTACTACCAAGGAAAAAACCTCTGGCCACCTGGCTTCCCTCAGTGACACAATAAGATCCACCCTATCCCCATCCTTCCTACTGCCTTGTCACTTGCTACACCTCACTTGAAACTTTAAAACTTTGAAATTAAATTGATACCCTCCTCCATATAATAACGACTTCATACATACAGGTTTTTAATTCAACATTTCTTCATTGCCTTTCAGGTGGTTTGCCTTCAACTGCTACCAGCTGAGTGATGATGCTTTATGTGACTATTAATGATAAGTTATGCTTAAATCTAATATTCATGATATAACTGTATAACAGAGGCAGTTCGCTTTGGGTTTAAATCCTGGCTTTGCCACCTGGGGCAAGTTATTTAACTTCTGTGAGCATGAGTTTCCTCACTTGTAAAAGAGGGACAATACACCCACCTTGCAGGATGATCCCAGTGAGAATCAAACAAGTTTGTACTTAAAGCATAGTATCTGACACAAAATCAACATATCAACATATTTTTCCTTTTCCTCATTATCCTTAATATCAGAGGTTTCTGTTTTATATTAGTTCATCATTCTCCTTACTGTTGAGTCTCTTCTTCCTTAATTGGTCACGTATAGTTTAAAAAGTCAAGTATTTATTTTCTTACTTATTCATAATGATCCCGTGAAGATTCATTATAAAAGCAAAAAACAAAACAAATAAAACAAACCTAGCAGCAAACAGCTAAATAAACCAAATGCTATTTCATTCAAAAATCTTTTTTACCTTGTGATAAATTTTTCCGTAACAATAAAATACACAGAAACAGTGACCAATTCTGATGTCATTAGATTCATCTAGACAGCCCTACCGTTTTGAAAGGCTAAGAGTTCACAGAATATTCAAGAATAGTTTCTTAATTATTTTCTGGTGTTAAAAGCCTCAATTCATTTCCTCTGCTCCTCACAGATGAAAGAATTATACAAACACTCTACGACTCAGTTATTTCTTCTCTTAAAATAGGAGATGAAACTGAACCTTATTTCAGGAATGAGGCAGTTAAAAAGATAGGAAGAAAAAGAAAAGATACAACCTGCTGCATAATGTGGGTGATTGCCCCAGGGGAAGATGCTGGGATGGACTTCACCACCACCGAAGTCTGTGTTGCAGTCTGTGACTGAGCTACATGTTGGAGCAGGGTCCGCTGGGGCTGGGAGGGTTGTTGGGGCTGGGAGCGATGGCTGACTGAAAATAGAGGAGGTGATGATATTTCTTCAGAAATCACCACAGCATCTATAACCAGTAGTCATTTAATACAAATGCCTGTGTGCTTGTATCACAGAGAGAAAGTGTGGTATTGTGAACTAGGAGGTAGAAGACCAGAGCCTGCCCGTCTATCAGCTGTGTGACTCTAAGGAAGTTTCTTATCTTCTCTGAGACTCTGTTTCCTCATCTGTAAAATGGGAATAACAGAGCTATAATAAGGAAGAGATGTTACGGAAAGTAAGGCAATACCAGTTCTTTATTCCCTTGGTCCCAGTTCCAAATGTAATACAAACATTAGAAACAGTCACTCCTTTATATAAAGTGACATTGTCTCACAGCCTACCAGTTCCTAAAAATGTAAGGGGGCAGGGTGATACTGCAGAAAGAGAATTGGACCAAAAGTCACACTTGGTTTCTCTCCCACTCTGCCACCAACCACTATGCAAATTTGAAGAGGTCATTTACCCTCTATTAACCTCTGAAACTTAGAGGTTTTGTTTTGTTTTTTTTAATGGAATAATAAAAACTTGCTGTTTTTACCTATAGGAGGACCAAACGATGTAATGGATTGAAAAATGGTCCTTAAGCTGTAAAGTACTAAACAAATACAAGATTGACAAAAGAATACAATAATCTGTTCTCAAATGTCAAATGTACTTCATCTGACACAAATAGGTAAGAATGCAGTGTAGGAAAAATCCCCATTTCTTATTCTCTTGCTACAAAGATCCCATGGAGTGACTAAAACTATCCATCTACATAGGTGCCAATTTATCATCTTTTACCAGCCTCAATTTCAACTTTTAAACACTAAACAGTATAAACATTTATCACTTCCAAATCTACAGAACTTTAAAAATGCTATAGTTCCTGGGAAACCAACCCTTTGAATCAGGAACAGATAGAATAAAACCAATCTGTAAATTAGCTAAGGATTCTGAAATTATAAAAACTCTCTTAATAATCCACAATTCTAATGTTCATATACCTTGATTTACAATTTCAAGTAGCACTGGTTCCATGCTTAGAAAAGTCATAGTGAGGTGTCCAAGAGTAAGATGATCACTACAGAAATCAATGTAAAAATGCCATTTACGTATTATAGGACAGAACTTTAAAACTATCCAGTGAAGTACAAATTAGCTTTATTTCTTTTTTAAGACACATTCTATCCATATCACAACGCAGTATTGCTATTGTTGCTATACATAAGCCTACAGATTACATGATATTATAGGCAGCATCACCAGTATTCTTTTATAAATGTACTGCAGTAACTTACTGTATTTCACAGTATGCTTTATATGTACATTTTAAATTATATGAATTAATAAAATCTTCCATATGTGCTCAACCAAACTGAAAAAAAAGAAGTCAGGATTTACATTACAACAGCCACTGAAATCATTTATAACATGATTGAGGAGGAGAAAAAACAAATTATAGTAATGTTAAAACTAAGCGAGCAAATTAATGAAGTTTTTTCAACGGAAGCATCATCAGAAATGAATGATATTTGAAAAATAAAAAATTTCTGATGAAATTATCAGATTATATGAAACATTTCTGCTGCCCATACTAATCTTCAAATTACATTAAGTTTTTAAATTAAGAAATGAAATGGATTTAATAGATCAACTAAAACTATTTAAAAGTAATCCTCCTTCAAGATACTATAAATTTCTTCAGTAATTCCTCAGAGTTCAGGAAAGTTAGAGAAAACTAACACCTGCTTCAGAATAATACAAGGGGCCAGGGCCAAGCAGCTGGCTTTGAAGTCAAAGAAAATGCTCAACATAGCTGTGGGTACGATGGGTGGAGACTGTGGAAGGAGGTCACAGAGTGAACAATTTCAAAAATAACAGAAGTAACCTTAACTGGGCCATATAAACCCCACAGAACAGGCCTTTACTTCTTTAAACAACTCTTTTTTCCCCCCAGTGTCAAATTTGCTCACTTCTCAGAAAGAATCCCACTATTCTGCAAAAGGAAAAATCTCTCTCCCTTTAACTAAGTGGAGCTTACCTTTCCTCTACCAGATCAGAGTAGAGCGCATCCATTTAAGTGGCTTCCCCCAAAACAATCATGTTTTACCTTCAGTGATACTACAAATGGATGCACACCACTTACCTAGAAGGGGAAAAGCAACCTCTGTCCCCTCATCAGTGTGTTCTGCAAAGGATAAGTAAGGGAAGAAATCATAGGTCTTTCATCTATTTACCATTTGATAATCTAGTAAACCCCTAGAGGTTAATACTGGGTTCCCCAACACACTGGCCTTTGCTTTAATTAGCTTTCTGCTAAATATCTCTAAAGAAAGATTCTAGATGGCTTTCCAAAATCTTAACAGGACTTTTCTCTTTTGGCAATTTTAACTCATTAGTCTTAACAATATCTCCTAAAATGATACCAAAGAATTCCTTTTCCTCCATGGTATTTACATCCTTCAAATATTTGTAACTTTACATTCTCCTTTAATCACTGCTTAAGAAAACTGTAAGTCATCTCTCCTAACCCCTTAATTATTCACATTACTACTCTCTGAACTATTTCAAATCTCAAGGTAATGAAGTGTCCAAAACAGAAAGCAGTATTCCAAGTGTGGTCTCACCAGAACATGAGAGAAAGAATCTATTATCATTCCTGCTTTACTTCTCCATACATGCCATCCAAAAATCTCATTAGTGTTTTGCTCCCAGGCCACATTTTAAACAAATACATAATCTGCTCTCCAACAGAACTCCTATGAATTTTCAGAGTTTTAAGGATTTCCAATTTTTTTTACATTAAAAAAAAAAGGTTGCATTTTATACCTTCTTTCTCCCTTAACCCACCTCCCCCAAAACTAAAAAATCCAGATGCACAATAAATACTTACATATAAGATATTTTATCCTCTCCCTACAACTGTTGCCCTATAGTCACAGCTGTTACTTTTGACTGACTTGCAATTTTATATTCCTTGAAAACTTTGAAACATCGTATTAATTTTTTTTCCCTAGACATTTAATACAGGGTAAATCCCAAGGATGATGTAAATTTGCTCTGAACACAAACAGATGGGAGCTACAAATATAAAGAATATATTCTCCCCCAAACAACCATCCCATGAAATCCAGAAAGGTAGCTCTCCTATTCTTAATACTACATTTTAAGAGGACACCTACCAGTAGTGATGTATTCAGCAACTAGTTCTGACTCTACCACAGCAATTGATGGGCTCTCAGGAGAATGTCTCTTTTCCTGGGTCATCTGAATAGGCACTGCCATTTGACTCAAGTCAATAGTGGGTTGTCTTGGTTTAGATTCCAATTTTTCCTTTACTGCATAAAAAAGTCAGGGGAAAAGTTAACTTTCATTACAAACAAGTACCCAAACCACAGTTGTCCATGGGCACAATGAACCAGACTTCTGGGGGTGCCACACTGGCAGTGACTAAGGAGACAGTGAGTTGAAAAGAAAAAAGCAGACTTCTCCATATGGCTGTACAGTGCACAACTTGTGTAACCATACCCAGTAGCCTGGTAAGAAGAATTTATATGCAATCACACTGAAATCCACTCCCTCCCCCCAACCCCCCATTATCTCTAGGCCAAATAACTGTGTGTTTTTGTCAAAGTAGTCCCTGGCAGTCATGAGTTCACCAACCTAAAACCAAAGGATGAATAGGCAGTACAAACCATTACCTTCTTTAGGGCACATCTACTCAGAACAGCACAACACAGTGACCATTTTAATTCAATCTATTAAAAATTCAAGATATCTTCAAAGAAATGTTACAATATCCTCAATGACTCTTTTAAAATAAAAATTTTCTTTGTTAGGAAAAAATGGCCTCTCTGTTTCTACAAAAATATCTGATTGAACAGTGTGGAATCAATAATGGTTTCTGTGAATAGACTTATTTTCTATCTTATTATCATTTTTTCTACAAAATCTGTCATTCAAAGTTTGCACTTCTATAAGGCATTAACAGAAATTGCTGAGCATGTCAAAGACAAGGAGCTAATGAAATTCCTAAGGCCAAAAATAACACCAATAGATGGATTAACCAAAGACTTACATTAAATGCTAGTATTCTCTGTGTAGTATAGAGTGGAAGTTACAATAAACAGTAACCAGTAACTAAGTCCACTGAATGATCATGACACCAAGTACATAATGTAACAACATCAAAACAATCATTTAAACAAAGAAAGCAAAACAAAACAAACTGAATAACCACAAGTAGAGAGGACATTGAACTAGGAATCAAAAGATGTGGAGTCGTACTTTGCCACTAACCAACTGGGTAACCTCTCTAGATCTCAATTTACTTATCCATAAAATAAAAGGCTTGAATGAGATATCGTGGCTAAGATCCCTTAAATACACTGACAATCTTTCACCTATTTTAACAGAAAAGTCAGTGTAACCTACACAGGTTTGTCCTAGAGTTTATCAAAGATATTTAGGAGCTAGAAATACTGATAGGATCTTATTACATGAGGATAGCTTTGCACGGAAGTTCAAGTGGCTAACCAAAGAAATAGATCTTTGTTTAAAAGAAATAAATCTCTGGTTATCAAAGAAATACACCTGAAAATAAAATTAAAACAAATTAGAATGTTAGCAAGGACCACAAATGGTGTTTTATGACCACAAAACTGTACTACCAATATCAAGAAGGACGGCAGGGGCCCTTCAGTCTGCCTCCTGCTATTCATGAATACAATTGGCAACTTTGCTGCATCTCTCCTTATACTTTAATAAGACTACTACTGTATGGTGGCAAGAGGCAACAGAACTGTCCATTTTAAGTAAGTGACAGAGATGACAGAGCTCTGCCATTTTTTCTCCTTTCTACTGACTATATAGTCCATCTGTGCTTCAGTACTCCTGTGCACATCTTAATGAACTAACAAGTAAACAGACTATACCAATGATTATAAACAAGTCCAGAGGGGGGAAATGTGCTCAAATAATCACAAAAAATCTATAACAGTGGTAGTATTTTAGCACAACCCATCTCTAGAGAAAACATGCTTCATTCAATTGAGCATGTGAATTCATACCTGTTGTCTGTTGGAGTTCTAATAGAGCTTTGATTGTTGAAGTAGCTGATTGTGATTCACTGGATACATCCTGATAAATTATGGTGGGGCTAGTCTCCATTGCAATCTCATGTTCTGACCAATCCTGACGCCGGGAAGCAATTACATGAACTACAGGCTGGGAATCTGTTTTACATTAGTTAAAAAAAAACAAACCCTATAAACAAAGTTTCTCTTTAAAAAAAAAAGCAATTTGTTTTTTTGTTTTATCTTTGTATTTGCTGTAAACTTCATGCTTTATCTCCCCAAGAAGACTGTAAGCCCCCAGAGGGCATAATGTCTTATAATTCTGAACCTACATATTAATTCATTCATTGATTTTACAAACTGGACACCCATGTGTCAGGTGCTATATTTGGCAATGAAGATATAAAGGAGCTCGCAGAATAATCAGAGAATGTTCAAGAAGCACACAATCTGGTTGGGGAGACGGACATGTAAAAAGACAAATTACAATTCAATGTGATAATCACTATATAAATAGGTGTGCATTTGTGTAGGTGGATGCCTGTTTGTGTATAGTAAGAACAAAATGCTGTAGAAGTCTTATCTTCCCCAGTGCATGTGAAAATGTGTTCTGTATTACAACCTGAGCATTCAGTCAATGCTTAATGGGCAGCTGAATTACTGAAAGAAAATCCTGTCCACTACAGCAAGAAAAGATAGATGATATAGAAGCAGCAATGATTTAATAGGGCAAGTTTAACTTTTGGAATTCAAAGTCTTGGGTTACAGTCTCGCCTCCATCAATTATTTGCAAGTTGATTCTTTGGGTCTTAGTTTCACTATTTCTAAAATGGGAACAATAAAATTATCTCTCTATCTCATAGGATTCTGAGGACACAATAAAATGATATATGTAAATGAGCTTTATAAACTTTGAAGGACAATAGAAATGCTATTATTGTTGTTGCTGTGGCCTTGAAGTTCTCACTTCTACGACTCTTCCTTGGTTTCAAAATAAATTATAGCCTAATTCAAGGCTTATTATATTCATGCTATACAGGTACATATGTAAATACTAAGTGTGCATCATATCAAGCAACAAATTATTTATTGAGTTTTTCATCTATAAAATAAGCAGGTTGGATTAGATCTAAACTCCTTTATCCAAGACACCATGAAGGAGATTTCAGAGGATTTAAAGGCATGATCCCTATGCCCAAATTTAGATTATAATGGGGAAAACAAAATAAAGATATACGGTTTTGTATCTTGGGGTAAATATCACATGATTAAGGCAAATAAGACAAATATATAGAAAATAAGAGACTGCTTTAAATAGAGATGGTCAACAAAAATATCACAGAAGAATGAAAAGAATTAAAGTAGTCCAATAAACAAGAATAAATATAACTAAAGTTCAACCCTCTATGAACCTTATATTTTTGAAAGTTAAGAAGTTGTCTGAAAATGTTGGGGTGAGGGGAACAACTCTTCAAACAGAACAGTTTTCCTGAAGAAAACAAAATCAATACACAATAGATTTAAAAATTTTAAATACCATTAACAAACTATATTTCCCCCCCAAAACACTGGATATATTCTACTCATATATCCTATGCCATACTAGGGATGTATAATTTCTTTTTTTTTTTTTCCTTTTTGTCTTTTTTCGTGTCCGGCAGCGGATCGCAACCCTCGGTGTCACGCCCGTACCGGACCAGGACCAGCAACGGGATCGCAACCCTCGGTGTTGCTCCCACACCTCGCTCAGCCAGTGAGCGGGAACCGGTCTGCATGTGGGATCCGAACCCTCAGCGGGAGCGTAGATTTAAAAATTTTAAATACCATTAACAAACTATATTTCCCCCCCAAAACACTGGTTATATTCTACTCATATATCCTATGCCATACTAGGGATGTATAATTTCTTTTTTTTTTTTTCCTTTTTGTCTTTTTTCGTGTCCGGCAGCGGATCGCAACCCTCGGTGTCACGCCCGTACCGGACCAGGACCAGCAACGGGATCGCAACCCTCGGTGTTGCTCCCACACCTCGCTCAGCCAGTGAGCGGGAACCGGTCTGCATGTGGGATCCGAACCCTCAGCGGGAGCGCCACCGCGCTCTCAAGTGGCGCACTGTAGCAGTGCGCCACCGGGCCAGCCGGGATGTATAATTTCAATTAAACTTCCTCCCCACAAAATACAGAAGACTGAAGGAAACTATCCTGTAATACCAAATGCCATGTGAAGCATATAACAGTTTTTCATTACTCATGTTAAATATATACAAACAATTTAAACCTGAGGACTGATTACATTAGGGAATTGTTCCTGTCATATAACTTAAGCTCCCAAACTTAAGAAATTCTCATGATGATACAGGCAGAAAATAACTTCGCAACCCAACTCTATGAGACACATTAAATATCCGGAAGAAGGCAGGGATTGCGTTTGTAGAGATAAAGTAGAAAGAGGTAAGAAAAGGAAAACAAATTTCCACATAGGAGCACCTATCAGAGACTACCACCACAAACAACATCACCCCTAGGGATTAGATAGATTGCTCTTTCTGTCCTTACTGAGAAAGAGAAGCTTACCATCACAAAGTATCACTGCAGCAACTCCAACAGCTGTGACACAAGATGAAGAGTGTGAACCTAAGTGAAAACCATTCCTTGAATGATTCTCCCCACTTCTTTTGGCTTACGCTTAGACTTGGATAAATCTACGGCCTATCAAGTCTGACGTTAGGGTCAAAGAGTACAATGACTGGGACACCAGGAGACTGATCTCATCAGTACCATCTGCTTATGCAGTGTGCATCCATCTACACTTCCTTACCTCTCTTGAGGACGGTGGCCTGTTGCCCCTAAGATGTCTTTCCCCACAGGTCATTGAACAAATATTTATTGGACACCTACTACATGTTAGGTACTAGAAATATATTCTTTAGTACTATATCCAAAAGCAGACGCAGACATCTCTCTATGAAAGAATATCTCCTATGTCTTCATTACAAAAGACCTACATCACACTTTCATAGAACCTTAAGACATCTCCATTAGAAGGGATCTTAAAGTTCATATTATGCTATCATCAATCCTACACTAAAATCTTCACAACAATATCTCCACCAGTCTGGGAACTATAACCCCAGAGAATTCACTACTTTCTAAGACAGTTTCCTTCCATTTCTGCACAGCTATGACAATTAGAAAGTTTTCTTACACTGAGTAGAAAAAGGTCTTCCTGTGACTTCTATCCAATGGTTCTAATGTCTGTCCATGTATCTATTCATAAAGACCAATTCTTTTCCCTCTTCCACATCACAGTCCTTGAGATAACTAACAACAGCTTCCATATCCCTCCAGCCTAACCCACCCCATCTTCTTTTCTTCATGCTAAACATCCTGTCTCTATCAAACATACTTCATACAGAATGATTCCCAGATGCCTTACTCACCTAAACCATCTCTTATAAACTAAACCTATATTCCTTCTATGATGTAATATATACCTTCCCTCTGAAACACTGTCATAAAGCTCAAGGCCTTCACAGTATTTAATTGTCTAGACAGCATCACTCCAAATGTTCAACAGAACATTAGTTCCTCAAGATGTTCCACAAAAGAAGGGTTCCAGGGTCAAAAAAGTTTGGGAACATTTTACATTACATATTCCACTCTTCATATTAGCACATAACAGCTTTGAAAAGTTCTACAATAAGTTTGTTTTGCTTAACCTGGAGTTATTCCCCATCCTCACCCTGGCCTACCAAGATCATGAAACTTCAGGAAAAATCATTCTAGAAACTGAGGTGTAACCTACTCAAAACAATATTAATGATGCATTTTTGTATTTGCCTCATGCTTTACTCCATTTTAACTCCCTACCCTTCGTTTTATATTCTTGTTCTCCTCCATTTTACTTGATATAATCTTGTATTTAAACCATCTTAAAAACCTTTTGGAAATAAGGCAAAATATCAATAAAGAAAGCTTCAAATTAAAAAAAAAAAAATCTAGGACCCTGTAAGGCTAGCCCATTCCCAAGTGAGAAAAAGAAAAAAACAAACAAAAAGTACAAAATAAAGTGGTCAATGTTAATAGCTGGTAGAACAAAGTAATATTGGAGGCATAATGTAGAAGGGATGATGAACCCTCCCAGGATGATCAAGGAAGGTCTCACAACAGGGCGATGATGAAGGCCTCTATCCTAGTCTGTGAGGAGATGGTTCAGGGATAAAGCATGCGGCCTAAACTTCTCCTCCTTGGGAGTAGGGGATAGTAGGTGAAGTTTAGAAATCACAAGTGGAATCAAGGCATTCCCTTAGCATAAGACACCCTTATTCCAGGTCTTGTGTAGGGGAAATCACCAGAAAAAAGATCTGAATTCAAGAAAAATTTGATTCTTTCCTAGAGTAGGATGACAACTATTAAACGTACAAAGAATAATGGACTTTAGAAAGTCATCTATGGATGCTAAAACAAGTGGATAAGTGTTTAATGAGGAACTTACTTACATAACCCCAAAGTAACTTCCCACAAACTACTATTAATTTCAAAGGGAAATATGTTAACTTTATAGAGGAGAAAACTGGAAGACATCATCTTAATCAACTGATCAATGTAAACATCGTCAATATTGAGATAAACTGATGACATGCTATGTCTCCTGATAAGATAAAACTGAGGATATAACATCACATCTGTGGAATTCCTGCTGAATCTAATCATGAGGAAGCATCAGACAAAATCAACTGAAGAATACTGTACAAAGTAACTGACCCATACTCTTCAAAAATGTTAAGGTGAAGAAAAACAAAGAAAGGCTGAGAGACCAATCCAGGTTAAAGGAGAATAAAGAACCATGACAGTTAAGTGCAGCTAAATGCAATGTTAGATCCTGAATTAGATGGTGGACAAGGGAAAAAACTATAAAGAACATTACTGAACGATTGATGATATTTGAATATGGATTATAAATAATAGTATTATAACAACATTAAATTTTTGATTTTGATAATTGTATCTTAATTATAAAGAGAATAACCCTTAATATAGACCTACCAATGTAAGTATTTAGAGGTAAAGGAACATGATATTTACATCTTACTCTCAAATGGTCAAGAAATTAAAAAATTATACACACATCCAACGGGAAGTGGGGGCAGAGAGAATCGATAACAAAGCAAATAGGGAAAAATGAAAACAAGAAGTGATTCTAGGTAAAAAGGATACACAGGAGTTCTTTTTACTATTCTTGCAACTTTTCTGTAAACCTGAAATTACTGTACATCGAAAGTAAAAGTTACTAAGAAAAAGGATAAAATGGCTAAAAACAAGTAGCAATGCAATGAAAAAATGAACAGCTATGCAGCGTTCATATTCCAAGTAGGTATGCCCTCATATACTTTAAAAATAAGTATTATCTTAGACTGACTGAAACCTTAATACTTCTCTTTAAATCACAGCATATATATTTCCAGCCCTTGTATTTGTGAGAATGTACTGAGGAACTATATAAGGAAATGGGGGGAGGGACAAATGCAGATTATAAAAACTGGATTTATAGTTAATTATATTAGATATGCCTTCTGAATTGTGAAAACTTTGTTACAGAATATTAAAAAAAGAAGCAATACACAATGATAGATACAGAATAAATAAAAATAGATGAAACCAAACTCTTTTCCCATTCTTAGAATAAAAACTGAAGATCCAACTAATGAAATGGCATGTTTGGGAAGTACTGATTGGCTCATAACTCCCTTCGGAAAAGACTAGCGATTTCAAAGGGTAACCTGAGACTATGTATATATAGACATCTACTGCTCATGTCCCCCTTTCAACACCAACTCATAAATAAGCTAAATATTTCTCCTGCCCTCTATGAAAATATTACTTGAAGACAAAAAGAGGCTAGTATTACTCAAAGAACTGCAAACTTAAAAATAAAAGAGGAAAAAGCAGGCTGAGCTAATCTGTTGAACAAAGAGTGCAATCTGTAAATACCAAATGAGTAAGTCCAAAAGAAATCACAGGGAAAAAAAGCATCATTCCACTGTAACTAGCACATAAACTAGTTTATAAGCAATATAGAATGATAAAGTGAATCTTAGCAAACTGATTCAGAAAATATTACTATCATTAATAATTTTGCTGAAGGAAACCATCCACTTTCTAAAACGTGACACATTCTATTTATTAAAATCAACATTTTCATTTATTTTTAATTGATGAGCTTTCAAAGACCATTTCAAATGCTACTTCCTTAATGAAGCTTTCTCACCCTCTCCTCACTGGAGTGTGAACTTTCAGCCTTTTGCATTTTTTTGCTTATTACTAATAAAATTCTTTTATTGGAATTGTATGTGTATTTTTTTTTTCTACCTTATTCTAGATTTTAAGTTCCTGGAGTGGAACCTATATAGGGTCTAGCACAATGTTTAGTACATAGTATAAACTAATAAATAACTGTCAAATTGAACTAATGGAATAATCAGCAATGTGAACCATGTAAAACTAATCTGGGAAGACTCCACTGAAGAGTTAAAGTAATAATAAAATGTTTGCACAATATGAAGAATGTGTATTAGAAAAGTGAAGGTGCTAAGAAAGCACTCTAGAAAGAATAATGGGGAGGCAGGGAGAGGAAATGGAGTGAGTTAAAAATAAGGGAAGATAAACAGCTTTTCTTAGATTCATCAGAGCCCATAAGCATAAATATACCACCTGACAATAAGGACAGTTAAGATAACTGAGAGATATGAGTACTAGATTTGTAGAAGGTCTCAAAGCTTATGATCATGAGTTTATTTCAAGATGCTTCCTAGAAGAATAACAACATAATTAAAACAGCACTGAGGACAAAGAGCTTCCCTGCAGTGGAGTCTAGCTTCATACTCCAGTCCTTATAATTAGAAAAATCATATAATTACCATCTGGAATACTTCTGAGAGTGAAAGGGAGTGGTATTAATAATTATGCCAGAACAACAGACATAAACTAGGACTTGTCCCATGCAAACTAGAATGCATGGTCATCCTACTTGCAGCCTACTTTAGAGCCCATCTCTGGCCTCCTTGATTCTTTCTCAAGGTTCATCAACAACCATTTCAAAAGCTATGCTCACTTCCTTGTATAATTCTTTCCCAACTTATGCAAACCAAACAAGAAAAATATTAAAATTATCATCTGGGAATCACAGTTGTATCTAGTTTAACATTACATACTTGACAATATCATCATCTAAAGTTTAACAATTATTTGATGAACATATGCCACACAGAAAAGAATGATAAGCTTTGCCAAAAATAAAATTTCAGCTCACTGATTAAACATCAAACAAAAGAAAATAAAACTTAAAAAAACTGACAAATCAAAGCATCCAAGTTTGTTTTGAAATCCCTAGAAGCAACTTCTATTTTGGAACCAGGGCCTTCTGTCACCAGTACTTATATAAATCAGAAGTAAAATGGATCGTACCTTGGGAACTTTGGGAGGACTCCGTAGAAGAGGAACTACTATCTGTATAACTCTGTGGTTCATCTTTTCCTTCCTGAATAGATGAATTACCAGCCTCTGTTACCCTGGATGCTTGCTGTAATGTTTCTGTTACCAGCTGTCTTGTTTGTTCGCTAACAACTGTGGCTTGAAATGTCACTGGTTTGGGTTTAATAAGAACCTAGAAGAAAAGTAAAAATATATCCAGATGAAATTCTAGAGCACTATTTTAAATGCTAATCTTCTAGGTCATGAACTAATACTTTCCTGATATGGAAAACAGCATTCTGCACATTTACTATGCTTTGGGTATAGCACTGTTCATCCAAGACTAATTCAATCTACAGACAAATTACAGTTAAGCCATGCATAATGTTTTAAGTAGTACATGCCAGACTGCAACATCCATGATTCTGACAAGAGCCTTTGCACCTGTTTTTTCTTGCCTATGATGACTTCAGGAGTCATTTTACAACCTGTAGGCTGTGTAGTAGAATGACAGTCACAAGCTAAGAATGGCAAAACAAAAAGATAAAAGGAACCTAGATTCCCAACAGAGATTTTGAGCCACAATATCAGTCCAGGACTTTCTCCCTCTGAACTTTTATTAACATAATAAAATAAAACCCTAATTTGTTTAAGCCTCTGTTCTTCAAATTTCTTTTTATTAGAAACCAAATGAAATTCCTGAACACAAAGTAAATATGCTTGAGACCTAAGTAATCTTTGAAGAAACTCCCAGAGGAATGCTAATTTAGACAACTATCAAAGCAACATGGAATGTGTGATGGACCAACTCCTGGCAAGAGTAAAAACCACAGACAGCTGAAAAAAGTGAAATGGGAGAAAATTTTCAAATTAGACTTTATTCTACTTTAAAATGTGGACTCTAGGAGTTGACTTCAATTGGGTCCATGGAATAAAAATGTAAACTCACCACAATTACTTTTTTTTTTTTTACCATATATAAGATTCTAAACCTTTTCAGACTCTATTAAGTCACCCATTTCTAAAAGTTCTAGAATGAAAATATGGTTTATATTATGCCTTAGATGATGGAGCAAATGAAGTTATGGTTGAACTCAATAGGCAATGTGGACCTACCACAAAACAAATCGCAAAACTTATTTTTCTATATATGTAAACTATCTGGTTACAATCTGAGGGAACAGATTCTAAAAGCAAAATTATTAATTTACAGGTAAATTAATATCTTTCACAAAACTTCTAGGATAGCATTTCTCAGCCAAAGCTGATACTGTTTCCTTTGAGATTTCTGGAAAAGCAGTTAGTTCCCACAGTAGTCTAGCAACAGAAGATTAAATTCTGAGCCTCAAATTCCTAGGCAAATTTTCAGAAAAGTTCCCTTATCTTGACTGAAAAATGAACAGATCTCTAGCTTCTTCATTATGCTGGGTTCAAGTACAGCAAATTTTATTTTATAAGAGTGTTTTTGAAGGCCATGCTAACTTATAAAAAGTAAATACTTTTCTCTGAGAGATTCTGAATAACTACCATCTTCCCTCAACCATCCACCCCTTGAATCACAATATACACCTTTAGCAAATTTATTCCACAGGGATTCTTTCCCCCAACCTTTGTTCACAGCATGACATAAATATTTAGATATTTAACAAAAAGTAATGAAGAGAAAAAAACAGGTTTTGAGAACAGATGAATAATTATACATATTCAGTCATAACTTTTAATAATCTTATATTTTTAATATTATTGATCTTTTCCTTCAAATTTCTATTTGGAAATTTTAGGAATTTAAAATATACAAGGGCCAAGAAAAATCACCATATCTTATAGCATACCTGTGTTTTCCCTTGCTGACCATAAACAATTTTTGTTGGGATGATTTTAGCTGCTGGTTGAACTGTGGAACCTATTCCTTTTGGCTGAGTTACAATCATTTTGGTGATGGGTCTTGTAGCAGTGATGATAGCTGGCTTTGCTCCTGTTGGCACTGTCTGAATAGTCTTTTCTCCCTAAATTGAAGTCAGTGATTATATGAGAGATTTATATGTATTTAAATGATAAAAATCATTCTCTTACTAAAAAAAAAATCATAGAAAGTTTTTACCAGGATGACGGAAAAAAGATTTTACCGAGATGACTTTATATAACAAAGTACAATGTTTCTAGATGATCAAAAGTCCCAATCTTAGTTGAAATGATCTTAGAAGTCATCTGAACAACCTTCTATAGAAAGAATGAATTAATTATTTCCTGATGAGTGAATTTAAAAAAATTACTTTATGTAAAAATACTTATTACACTGCCTCATTCATAGAATACATATACTAAAATAGAGTCAGAAAATTTTGGCAGAATATACACTAAAATGTTAACAATGGTTATCTGTAAGAGTTGGGATTACAGATCTCACCTCCCACATTCATCTTTATTTTCTAATTTATCTGAAATGAATATTCATGTAACAAAAAAAAATTACTGTGCAATATATCAGTAGGTAAATGTATATGTATACAATAAACTCCCTAACTTCCACATACATGAATTTGTAAGAATATATAGCAGAATGTCTATGTGAAAAAAGATGGGCAAGAAATGAAATCAACAGGGATATTAATATTCTTTCTAAGGTTATGTAGGAAAAAAGAAAGGAAAAACAGGGCATTTCCCATGTTTTACTATTAGTATGTTACAAATATCACTTTAGCCTATTAACTAGAGAACTTAAGCCCATTAACTTTTCACCATTTTCTGCATTTTCATCTGCTTTATTTAGTAGCATTTTCTTGTCATGCATGGACTCAACATCTTTTTATTTGAACTTAAGTTTAAATACTAAATTATTAAATTTTACTAAATAATTAAAATTTAAAAAATTAAAATCCATAAAATTAAAAAGGAAATGAAAGGATCTGAGAATTTTCACTTCATAAGCCTTTCTTAATTTTTAGCTATCATTATTAAATGTGTGGCCATCTAAAGTTAGCAGGCAGTAAAAACAAAGTACCCAGGTGAGCTGGCTAAAAAGCACTCTGTGAATTTAGAACTAAATGTGATTATACAAATCGTATGTTTAACTATCTGCTGTAATTATCTAAGAAAAACATGAAGTGTCTGCTAATTGTGTGATTACTTATTTCAACATACACATATCCTTCACAGCAGCATTTCTGGAAAGAGCTTTAGTTATTTGCCAAGAGCCAATAGTTTGCAGGTGCGCATGCTATCTATTAAATAGCTCGATGGGCCCCATCCACTTATAAGCACCCATTCAAAGCCAAACAAAAACAACTAGCAGGCTGTTTTTTTAAAACAGTTCTTCTGGTGTGTGTTGTGGGCATGCACAAGTGAGCAAGTGATAAGTACAGGTGCATGTGCCTATGTGGTGAGGAATACATTGATCTGCTTGTTTTACTAGCACTGTGTGTCAAATTGTTGCTATCAGATATATCTAACAGCTATGATTCACACATGACTCTTAGATCTCAGTGACCATAGAACCTAGAATATATGGCAGCATCCCCTCTTACATGTCAAGTTCTATGAAATTGCAAACCACACTATAAAGGGTTCTGAAAATCTAAATGCTAGTTCCAGCTTTACTTTTGGCTTACTATGTGAATTTGGGCTAGAAATAATCTGTTTTTCCACATGTTGAAAGACTCAACACTGTAAAGACTGCCTAAGAAGCTTTTATGAAGTATAGCATTCCATTTTTTAGTGAAGTCAGGCAAGGCACCACCACCAAGCAGTTAAGTACCAAGAACAATAACAAAAGAAGACAACCAATGATTGTAGACTTCCTATGTGCCAGGCACTGTTCTAAGCATTTTCAAAACAGCTACCAGTTACTGAACAACCTCACTGGTAGAGATCATCATCCCCAACGCACAAATGAAAAAATTAAGGATTGCAGAGCTTGAATGAGTCACCCAAAGTCAAACAACTACAATACTGAGAGACAAAGCCCAGGTTTGTATAACTCCGAATCTCTTAACCTCTTCACAACTACCTGCAGAACTATAAATAAATGTTATTTATTTAATTTTTTTTGCTAGCTAAAAGAGGAAAAACAAACAAATGTAACAAAGCCCCATCAATTAATTTAGTCTTAATCCCTAATATTTCTCTTTATCCAGCGTAGGCCAAATACTAGACCAATATCTATTAGCCATAAACAGGAATAAAATTGTGCTCCAACAGAAATCCCCCTACAGTTAAACCACTGAAATTCTCCATCTGGACCATACGAAGCATCTAAATCATGGTCATAAGCAATCTAGTTACAAGCAACTATAAACAACATGTTTTAGAAATTACTGTGAAAAATGACATCAGTTGGTGGTACTTTAACAGTTACTATATCACAGTAGTGGTAAATCAAGCCATTCTGGCCATCGTGGGGTTCTAAAGTCCTTGGGCAAATATTTGTATGGCTGGTCTTTAAAATTCTCAATGGATTGCTGAGTCTGAAGTTCAAGCTCTTACTTACTCCAGCATTTAGCAATGTTGTGACAACATTTTTGCCTGGGAGGCCTTGAATGGTCGTTCCTTTTCCTGTAGTCTTTTGCACAACAATCACATTGGGCTTGGAAGTCATTGGGATTGTAGTGATTTTGGTAGTCGTTCCTTAGAAAAGGGGGAAGAAAAGGAGGCCTGAGTTAAGGACTAGCAATATTTGGTTATTTCTATTTATGTTGTACACAATTAATACATGTAGTTAATGTCATCCCTAGATGACGTGAAGGCTGTTATGAGGATGAAAATGAAGACTTGAGACAGTAAGTTATAAATTATCCCAGAATGAAAGAATATTAAGAATTGACTTTAAATCCAGTCATCTTTTTAGAATCTGAGGACCTACACACCAAACTGAGAATTTAAAAACATCACTGTCAATGTCTCCAACATTGCTTTCTTGACTAGTTAAATAAAACAAGTGAGAACCTCTTTTCCATGGCATATACTGTTATTTCCCCCAAACCCAGTTTTACATCTATATGACTAATGTGATGGGAAAACTCTTTGGGGGAAAAAAAATAAAGAGGTAAATACTTATCAAAATTCATACAACACTAGACTCTAGAGAAAATTTATGAAAAGAAATAAGCCATGTATTTTTGTGTGATTAAAAGGGACAAAGTACACACTGACACACAGACCAGGTCACAGATTCAATATGTGTTTTTGTACTCTGTAGTACTCTAGAGAATGTGAGGATGAAATTCTAATTTATATATTTATATATGTAAATTTATATTTTCAATTATTAAGTTCTACTTAATACATCTATATCTACTGATCCAAACATAATATTATCATGACCTTTCCCCCACATCCTTCGGTAACCTGCTTTTCTTCTACCTATCAAATCTATCTACCTGTCTATCAAATTTATGCTCCATACTCTTCTAACTGTCCAAGTTGGAAATCCTGGTGCAAATCTTTGATTAATGCCTTGTCTTAACTCCCTGTTCCTCCCAACAAAATGAAAGTCCCTTGAGCTCCACACTGTACCTTTTTTATGTCACTGATTCCTCAGTGCTTAGCAAAGTGGATGGCAACTACTGAGGTTGTTCAGGGAGCATGTGAATGAACACAATTTGTCACCAACATATATCTTCTTTCAAAATGTTATCAATGACATCTCAGTCACCTCATTTTCTTTGGCTTCCCAGAGTCTCCCTGTTTCAAATTTCTCTATCATCAAATAGCTCTAGTGCTACCTGTCATATCAAACATCCTAAAAAAACTAATTTTATCATGTCAAAAACTTGGAACAACATGTCAGACTGGTTAAAAACCTCCCTAATCCTTATTGTATCTAGTTCCAACTTCCCCTCTTGTGTTTCAAAATTCCAATCCACCAATTTGATTTTATTAGTTCCTACTCCACAATACACACCATAAACTCTAGTCTAATAGGTAACTTCTTCATTATGGCTTCCTATTACCTACAACACAAAGCCCAAACTTCTCTGCCTAGCTTTCCAGGTTCTGTCAGACTTTAATTTTCAGGATTATCCAACATACATCTCTCCTTCAGTGTGTTGGTTTCCTCACTGGCTCTTGAGCATACCACTTCCAATGTTACTTTTGCTCCTGTAATTTCTTCTGTCATATTCTTTATTTATAGGCCTATATATTATTTATCAAATTACTAAGCACAGAATAGGTAGGTACTCAATAAAAACATGACTAATATATTCTCAAAAGGAAAAATTAAAGAAAATTTTATTTTCCACTGGAAAACCTTAGCATTCCTTACTAGAGTTTTAGAAATAAGACTGCACTAGGAATAAGAATATTCTAGTTATATGATAATTTTGGCAATATTGTTATAAAAATATCTTTATATACTTGCCAGTATCAATGTCTCATCAGTCCAAGGTAACATACTCAGAGGTTACATAAAAAGAATTTTATTTATGGATTAGCTTCACAACTGTTTTTCCCTTCACCTGTAGATTCTGAATAGTGTGAACTGTTAAGGGCCATAAAAACCAAGCTGCCCATATTCACTTATACCAACTTTAATTCTTAATTAACTCCAATACCTCATATATGATAGACTGTGTAGACCTCTTTTGACATTGCAACCTCACCAAAAATTTGATTAATAAAGTGTTTTTAGAAAGTAAGAATTAAAAACTGTCTCAAGGAAATGTAAACCAAATTCTACACCAAAGCAGAAGAACCACTTCCTGCCAAAACTTCCTCAACGAGTGAATTACATTTATATTTACTAAAATGTCTAACCCCCTCCATTACAGAGGCTTGTCAATTTATAAAACAATTGCAAATCAAGTCTGTAGCTTAACAAATTGGGGGAGAAGGAGGGAAGAATGTTAGATAATAGAGGAAAATAGAATAGCATAGTAAAAACAAGTATAACATTGTATTAAAATAGAATATAATGTATGCCTAGAATTATCAATTATAATGTCTGAAACTCCACTGAGCGTGTTTCTATATCTGAAGGGATACCTATGTTGTATGAAGAAAGAAGTATTACTCATTCAAAAAAAAAAAAAGTCCATCTTCTATGCTTTCACAGAAGTAAGTCTACAGTTCTCATGTTACAACAGAATGTACACCAGTTCATTTGTTTAGCATTCTTTAGGGCACAGAATGAAACTCATGTACATGCCTCTGTATCACAATACCTAGCACAGTATCTGGCTCATAGCATATCAGAGAATCCACCTATATAGTCTTTACTTATCAAGTCAAGACACAATAGGTGCAAATAACCATGAATCACATTTTGCTCATAACAGGCTACAATATTAATACATTCCAGGGATTCTTTATTTTTAGAAAAGATGCCTGTAAAAGTTTGAGCACTATGATAGGTAGACTTAAAGAAGAACAAGTTCATTGGCTCAGACTTTACTATCTACAGATTCTTAAATCACCCTCACAATCTTTGCTTCTTGGGTAACGCTTATGCTGCTTTGCTCAAAGAATGAGTGAATGAATGAATAAAAAAGTGTATAAACAAACAATAGCTACTTGCCTGGACATTGCACTAAAGATAAGAGAATTAAAGTCTTGGCATTGTCGCAGGTTCTCATAACGCCCTTGAATCAAGGTACTGAGTTTATCTCTGAAGGATCCAATATTCTGCATAAAATGGGTATGATTCTTCAATCACCAATCCTTAACAAAGCTCACAAAAAACTCACAAATCGGATCATTATCTCGTATAAACAAATATAAATAAATAATTGGCTCTATAAGATATGAGTTAAATAACTGTAAAGATAGTCGTGGTTTCCATTTAATTGCTTATTCTAATTTTTTTTTTAAAACTTGATCTTGCTAGAAAATACTTTGGAAGCATTAACTTGCCTTCTAGGATACTAAACAAAGGAAGTAAGAACTTCCCCCCACCCAACAAAACAAGATAAAAAAGGGGAAAAAAAAGAACTTCACAAAATAATTTATGTTCCTCACAGGATTATTTACAACAAAAAGAAAAAAGAAAAAGAAAATGGTTAAACTATGGTACATCATATGAGGGAATGTTATGTAGCCACTGGGGGGATGCCAAAATACATTTACTAGCCTGGGAAAATAATCAGCACTATTATATGAAACAAGAATAAAAACTAATTATATTAGATACCAATTTAATTTTTTAAATATACATATATATACACAAACACATTATACAAACAAATGAATAGAAAAAGGAATAAAAAGAAATATACCTAAATTTTAACACATTTCTACGAATGGTAAAAATTATGTTTTTAATTTTCTTTATACTTTTCTGTATTTTCCAAATTCTCCCACAATGAGAAGGAAATTGTCATTAAAAAAAAAAAAAAAAATTGGGGAAGCTTAATCTTCTTCTAACTTCCTATCAGAGAAGATAAGAGTAAAATAATGTTTTCTTTCCCACCTCTATGGTTTCAAAGAGCATTTTATCATTGAATATGGAACTGAATGATACATAAAAAATATGAAATGTTTGGTTTTAATGCAGATATTTGTGGTTTTGTTAGCTTTATAAATTGATTTCACGAAATATGAGATTATTTTCAAATGGTGATACCAGATTAATTCTATAAATTACATTTTAATACATATAGAACACTTTGCGTTTATGATTTTTAAATGTTTCCTTTGGACGAGTACCATCATGTATTTTGTTTTTTGTTTGGGGGAAAGGATACCCTAGAATTCAGCATCTGCTCATGGAAGAAGGCAGAAAACTGTCTAAAATCATTCAACCAAATAAAAATGAACAAAAGAAAGAAAGAAAAAGACATAAAATAAAATCATTCAACCAGGCTTACCAGTTTACTATGAATAGACAATAAAGGATTAAAAAACTACTAATAAACTAACCTATAATCCCAATATCAGGGACCAACAGGAATATTATAAAATAACAGAACTGTCTTTATAGTGATATGTAACATAAGGATTAGTTTACAGCAAACAGGAATGAGAGAAGTTCTTTGGCATAAAAGTGTCAAACAGTGAAACAGAGGCAGAAACATAATGAGCTCCATGCAATGAGTAAAGTTGTTTCAACTATATGCCAAATATATCCTATAGTGCTAGAAAAGCTTAAGAAGTCTTCTCACATATACCCATGCACTTGAAATAGCAACTAACCATGAGTGTTTTATATTTGAATACAAAGGTGGTTAATATGTATACATGTTTATACATGAATAGAATATACAGTTGTCCCTAGGTATCTGTGGGGGTTTGGTTCTAGGACCTCCCTTATATACCAAAATCCTTGGATGTTCAAGTCCCTGATATAAAATGGTGTGGTATTTGCATATAACCTACGCACATCCTCCCATATACTTTAAATCATCTCTAGATTACTTATAATGTCTAATACAATATAAATGCTATGTAAATAGTTGGTGTAGAGTATTGTTTAGGGAATAATGTCAAGAAAAAAAATCTATACGTGTTCAGTATAGATACAATTTTTTTCCCCAAATATTTTTGATCCATGGTTGGTTGGATCCACAGATGCAGAACCCATGGATCCAAAGGACCCACTGTATATCTCAGATCACATCTCTGCTTCTAGGAAAAAGTGCTTGCTTGTATTGCTCTAATCTGGTACAAAGCAGCTACATCATGAAGAAGGTCTGAAAAGAGGCCTCATGACGTCTAGACATTCCTTCAAGCTATATGGTACTATAAATTCATATATAAGAAAATCCTTAAGGTCCTAAAAAGCTACCAACATGATCACTTTTTAAAAAACGTTTAATTGCATAAGTACTTTATACTATTTAAAGATAGTGTCAAGTAATAAATTATAATGTGAGTTTTAACTGTGTTATTTAAAATACCCTCTTACAAGCTGAGGTATGGTGATTCTTTCCCTACTGGTTTCACCCTCCTCAGTTTGGCAAACATTGGATTTTCTCATTTACACTTAAAAATAGAGCCAAAATTAACAGCTTTAAATATAGTACTTTATGCCAATACCATGCCCACTTGGCTTTTTTTTTTTTCACTCCCTGAGTTATCAGCAACGTCAAATTACTGCCAGGAACCTAAATCTGACTTTGAAATGTTACAACAACTCACCTGGGGCACACAAAAAACTGCAGACAGTTAAAGTCCACAAGGCTTTCTTAATCAGAGATTATTTACATCATTTTAATTAAAAATAATAATCAATGAAAACAGAGGCTATGCTAACATTCCACTTCAGGGTCTATAACCCAAATACAGCAGGGATTAATGAGCCAATAAAAACCAGGTAAGGTTCCCATATACCCATAAAAAGGCAGATGGTTAGTTAGCTTTCACTATCTGAGTAAAATATTTTTAAAAAGCAAACAGTTGATATAAATGGTGAAAAGCAAATATATTCAAATATTTTATTTTTAATAAGTTAAAGTGACATTAGTAATTAAAATTATGATCTGTTCCCTTAAACATATTTAGATAACAAACACTATTTCTTCCACTACCTAGTTTGTATAGACTTGAACAGGTCAATTTGATCTCCCTAAACCCAAATTGGTCTTCATTTGTAAACTCAGCACAATACCAACTACCTCAGGGTAGTTATGAGGTCTGAATGGGTTGACAAATAGGAGAATACTTTGTAAACGAAAAATCTCTATGCAAATATAAACCACAATCTTTCCATTCTGATTAAAAGGAACTAAATATTCTTTCTATTTTAGAACCATCAAAAGCTTTATGTGTGAATATTTAATACTAAAACTAAAAACTATACTTAATCACTAAACATAAGGACTGAAAACAATGCTTTAGATTTCTAAGCAGAAAACTGAGATCAAACAGAATCTTTCAAAAACGCAATATGTTTTTTCCTCTGACTGAAGGTCACCTATGCTTTTAACATATTTTAGATATACCTACCAGAAACTATATTACTGCTAATTATCTTGCCCCCTAAGGTAGCTAATGATTTCGGTACTACAGTAATGATGCTACCACTGGTAGTTTTCACATAGGTTGCAGCTCCAGGGGTTGCAGCCATCCGACCTATAGACGGACTCACTGTTGGCCGGGTATAGGTTGCTTGTGTGCCTATAAAAAGGGAAAAGCCGAAAAAGAAATCTTGTCATTACCTACAGAAAAATGATAATTCACAGAGTTTAACTATAATTCAATGTAATCGACATTGCTTTAACTTGAAAATGGAATTTCAAGGTGTCAAGACATGAATTTATAATTTTACAGCCAGTTTTCAATGCACATAGCAAGAACTATAGCCAACTGAATTTAAATTCACTTTACACATAAAATTTTGCGATGTGTTGCATCAAATTACTAACCCAAGCAAAAGTGGAGCTTATTTTGCTCCCTTCTTCCACTACCCTTCTTCCAAAAAAACCTTAAATTTAATCATCTTAAATTAAACTTAAATTTAATCATCTTTCCTGCAAGAGCATTTTAGATATTCCTGTTATAGTTTAAGGTCTCTGTGTCTTTTTTATGCTGTCTCAGTGCCAAACCCAATGTCAGCACTCAGCAAGTAAGGCAGTATTGTGCACGTAAAATTTTATAAACTTTTACTGTTCTGTATTCTGCTACCCTCTAAATATATTTCCATCTTTTAAAGGGTTATTCCGTCATTTTACTAGAGATTAAAGTTGAAGCTGCCAAGAGTTGCCAGGAATATTTCTCTTTAGCCTAAAATTTTCTCTATTTACATATTTCTTCAACTTTAAGTGACCTGTTGGAATATTTTTCTTCATGTCTCTCAAAGGATTTTATACTCTTTCCCACTATTTCTAGAACTTTTCTCTTTTCCCAGACAGGAATTAAAAACTAACCAGATGAACCTGTTGTAGTTTCTTACAAATTCAATAACTCAGAAATACTATTCCTAAACTCAGAATTATTAGCCTTGGGAAGACTGAAAAAATGACTATGATAATACCTCCTTCAACTGGAAAAAAAATTTTCATGTCAGTTAGATTCATAGGCCACTATAATAGCCATTTTCAACAACCATCCCCCTCTCAGGAAAAAAAAATGCTTTTAGCAAGTTATTCATGTTTTAAAAATACGACCACTACTCAAAAAAGGGAGGGGAGGAAAGTTGAGTAGAATTACTTTAAACTGATTACAAGCATATATCTGAATCAGAAAAAAATCTAGTGGAAAGTAAATACATAAGTTATAGGGATACACAGTTTGAATCTGTTGAATTATAACAAAAAAATTTTCAACTTAAGCTTTTGTTTTAAAAAAGGAAACACATTATAATATAGACACATAAACATAGATACAGTATTATTTTTTACTACCTTTTCCTAACATAAGCAATCATATATACATAACACTATTATCTTTGTGCCAAATGGAGAAAAGTTTGGGGGAAGTATGATAAATTTACTGCAAGAATAACAGTGTTTAAAAATACAGGCTTTGCATAGAGACAGAAAGCAGAATGGTGGTTGCCAGGGACTGGGGAATGGGGGAAATGGAGGTTACTGTTTAACAGGTAGAGTTTTGGTATGAGAAGGTGAAAAAGTTCAGGAGATAGATGGTACTGACAGTTGCACAACAATTGAATGTACTTAATGCCAATGAACTGTTATAACATGAAAATGGAAAATTTCACATTATGTATATTTTACCACAATCTAAAAATATGACAGCTAATAAACTTGAGATAGGTATCATTTTACATAAGTTAGATTCTGTCACCTAAACCAAAAAGGCTGGTTAAGAATCATATACATTTAAAATTAACAGTAATGGCTAATTCTAATAGTAATAGTAATAGCTAGTGAACACTATGCTGGGGACTTTTTACATACCTGATTTCATTTAATACTTACAACAACCTTATGGCATAGCTATTATTATCCCATTTAAACAGACAAGGAAAAAGCTTTAGAGAGATTAAGTACCCTGCTCAAGGTCACAAAGGGTTGAATTATTTAAACTGTTCTACATTGTCACTTCCTTGAGCACTGGCTGGTTGCTCTCCTATCTGGGCACAATGACATCCTGTGCTTCCCTCAGTCTCAGTAACACTTTCCACACTGTAATGTGTGGACTCTCAACCTCATCAGAGTGAGATTCTTGTGGGCTGGGACCGTTTTCATTCACTCAACAAATCCTGACTAAGCACCTACTTACAAGACAGATCTGTCTTTCTATCTTGGTCTCACTACATATATATATATGTATGTATGTATACACACATACACACATACACATATATATTTTGGTGGCTGGCCAGTACAGGGGTCCAAATCCTTGACCTTGGTGTTATTGGCACCACGCTCTAACCAAGTGAGCTAAGCGGCCAGCCCCCAGCTCTGCATATATACAGTGAATAAAACAGATATGGTCTCTTACCATCATGGAGCTTATGGTCTAATAGAGAGAACAACATTAATCAAATCAACAAACAACTAGCTAAGTAATTAGAAATTGTGATAAGTGCTACAAAGGAAATGAAAATGGGACTATGAGAAGGGATAACAAAAGAAAGCTAATTTAAGGGTGGTGAAGGCATGGGAATCAAGAAAGGCCTCTTTGAAGAACTGTCTCATTAATCTCTACATCTGCAATGTCAAGCATATTGCTGATACAGAGAAACTGCTTGATGAATATAAGATGAATGAATAAATTGATGCTTGAGAGAACTTACCAGTAGGAGTGGTTACCAGTTTAGTTGTCATAATCGCACCATTACTGCTAACCACCATAATAGGAGAATTACTACTGGTGGGTAGAGTTGCTGTCACTGGTTTGGGTAAGATTTTACTTGGTTGAACCTGTTGTGTGATGATTTTAACACCTTTGAAAAAAGAAAGATAAATCTCAGTACAAATTATTTTTAAAACATGTCCTTTATACCAACCCAAGAGGGCAGTAGTCACATACATTTACTCTGTATTGCCTGAAGAGAAGCTTGTCATATTGATGGTACTCTTTTAATTCCTCAAATTCCTATCTTTCCTAGTTTTTCACATTTCAGGAATGCAACTAAAACATTACAGTAACAAAGTTCTTAAAGAAAAACAAACCTTTTCTTTTGTCTATGATTGTGTTATACAAAAGCTTTCAAACCGAAGTTAGCCATTGGACCTGAACTTTTATAGGCAAATAAATAATCTACTCCATACAAATACTTGGGATAAAAGGACTAACTAGCATAAGAAGTCAAAAACAAGTTAATGTAGCTTTTACATATTCCCAATACCATCAAAGATTTCTCTTAACTCCTTAAATTATATATGTTACTGAAAACTGTAAAGAACATGAACATTTTTTTTTTTTTTTTTTTTTTAAAAAGATGACCGGTAAGGGGATCTCAACCCCCTGGGCTGGGTGCTGCCACCCCCACGCTCAGCCAGTGAGCAAACCGGCCATCCCCATATAGGATCCGAACCCGTGGCCTTGGTGTTATCAGCACCGCACTCTACCGAGTGAGCCACGGGCCGGCCCTAGAACATGAACATTTTTGTTTGAATTTTTAAATTACCTTCTTTAGAAGTATTTTTAGCTTCCAGGCAAGACAGTGGAATAGACAGTCCCTAGCATCACTCTCTCCCACAAATCAACCAATTTACAACAATAAAAAAGCAACGACAGCCAAACTGGGGCCACTAGAGCTCAGGAGAAGAGGAGGAGAGACCAAGGGAGTGCACGAAAGTGGGAGAAGCCATGATGAGAGAAAGAAAAAACCCTTCTGACTGTTTAGAATCCCAGCCCTTTCCAGGCTGGAGCTGCTGAGGTGTACAGAGCAGGAGCTGGCAAAAAGCCATAGCTGTGCCTTTCAGATGAAGTTGCTTGGAGGCAGCAGGGGAGAAGAGGGCCTTGTGTCCCCCAGGCCAGCAATACCACTAATAGGGTTCCCATGGACCTTCAAAGGACCAAAGAGCCACAACAACTGAAAAAAAGGAGCCACTCAGAGGCTGGTGAATCATTGCAGGGGACCAGAGCACAGCCGTCCCATGGGAAGTCTCTGGAGCAGTGGCAGTGAGGGAGACATGACCCCTGGGGGAACAATGGGGCACAGCAAGGACAGCTGATCTGCACCCCAATCAGTGTAGGATCATTCAGAAGAGACTGGTCAGGAATACAGAACCACATGGGGTGCAATTTGATGAAAAGACTCTGGCCCAGATCAGTGTTTATACACAACTCAGTTGCACCAGATTTCACTAGAACCGGAAGTACCTAAAAGTCAACCATTAAAACATGAGCTGCACAAACAGCCTTCCCGAGGGAATCAGCAGCAAAGCAGCAATTTAGCTCAACCACAGAACTCAAGTACTGGTCCTCACAGAAAGTTCCCCCATTTTAGAAGTAAGCAAAGGAGAGAGCAAATTAGTTCCAGTACAGAGTTCGAGTGGTGGGAATAGCAAATAATCCAACACAGAACTGAAAGAAAAAACAAAGTACCCACAACTGGAGACAAAGCTTGATATTAACTAGTAAAGGGTCTCATTTCACCAAAGAACACCTATAACACCTAGAAGGACCAGAAGTCCCCTGGGCTACCAAACCAGAAAGGGGGGAGGGCTAGGGGCGACAGCCATGCTCCCCAAAACCCGCAACCAGTCCCAAGGGTGGGGGCTTCAGGCCTCGGCCACACACCCCCAAGTGCAACCACCCTAGCAGTGACCACCAAGCCGTTGCAGGAAGCGGCCAGGGCTCCCCTGAGCTGGGATGGTGGGGGGGGCCTCAGGCCTCAGCCATAACACCCCCACACCCACAGCCTGCCCAGCGACAACTACCAAGCTGTAGCAAGAAGGGCCTCAGGTTCCCAAGTTGGGGAGGTGGGAGGCAAGGGCTTTTGGCACACCCCCCTGACATCTGCACCCAGCCCAGCAATGGCCAAGTCACCGCTGGAAGCCCCCTGCTCTCCTCCATGGGAATGTGGGGGTTGCCACAGGCCTCAATCCTGCCCCTTCCCCTTCCTCCTTCTTCTATCACATTTCCTTCCCCTTTCCCCTCTCTCCCTCCCTCCCAACTGCTCTGCTACATCATAGAATGAAAAAAAAATATTTATTTTTTTAAAAAGTGTTTTTAATAGGTTACTTCGTCAGATACAGAATATAAAAAAGGACACATTATTAATGCACCTATACAAAATGGGCATGTGGACAAGAGCTTGAAGGCAATATGCAAAAATGAAAATGTTAGGGTGGTAATGTTATAATTTTTTCCCCACATCTCCAAAATTTTTACTTCCATGCTATACCTGTTACATTGAGTTTCCAAATGCAAAAATGTTCACTTAAAAGAAAATTTCCAATGCTAACTGCAAATGTAAGTACTAGTAATTGGTAACTAAGGACTGAAACTTTGGCAACAGTTTTTCTCTACCACTACCTTTAGTCAAATAATTTGTTAGATAAAATATATTACCATAGACAACTAAGAATTATATTACTTTTTGGATTATGATTTAGGTTGAGACATTAGGAAGCAAACAGATTTATTTATTTAATAGCCTTAAATAATTTTAAACTTCTTATAGCCAACAAAGAAGTTGAAATGATGCTATTTAGGCATAATTAAGCAAGTAATTTAATCTCTGTGACTCAGTTTCTCATCCATAAAATAAAGATACTATTACTACATACCTCATAGGGCTGTCATGAAGGTTAAATAAATAAAATTGTAAAGTGCCTAATACATAGCAAGAATTCAATAAATATTACTGTGAAAATGAAAAATTCTGATTATAATAAATCATAAACAGTGAGCTTGTAGGGGGAAAAATGATTTCTAGTATTATAAAAAGAAGCCCCTAAAGAAATAACCACAGATACAGACAAAATTAACAGAACAATAAGAGATTACTTTGTTCAATCCCATGCAAATAAATAGAAAATCTGGATCAAATAGATAATTTTCTAGCAAAATATTATTTATGAGAATTGACCCCAGAAAAGAGAGAAAACCTAAATAGACAAATTTCCATACAAGAAATATTTTTTTTCCTTTTTGTCTTTTTTCGTGACCAGTAACGGGATCGCAACCCTCGGTGTTGCGCCTGTACCGCGACCGGCAACGGGATTGCAACCCTCAGTGTCACGCCCGCACCGCGCTCAACCAGTGAGCGGACCGGTCTCTACATGGGATCCGAACCCTCGGCGGGAGCGCCGCCACACTCCCAAGCGCCGCACTCTACCGAGTGTACCACCGGGCCGGCCCCATAAAAGAAATTTTTAAGAGCTCTGCTCCTCTGCCAGAAAGTAGCAGGCCCAGATAGTCACAGCAGACAATTCTAAAGTCCTTTAAAAAGAAGATAATTCCAATGTACTTAAAACCATTCTACAGATTCATTTCTGGCATGACAGACAGCATAAGGAGCTCTGCTAACATTCTAACCCAGTGAAACTGGTTAAAATTATAAAGTCACCATTGAAAGCTCTGGAAATGGTTCCAAGGATAAAAAGCAAATGAAGAAAAATCTACTCAAGAAAGTCTACAAAAATTCTGAGGTTCTCCAACTTAGAAAAACAACAACAAAAAGAAAATCTACAAAAATTTGGTAAGAAAGCCAAGATCTGTGGTATTTGAACCCATACCATTTCCTCCTTCCCCCCATCAGCTCAGCAAGGTAGAGATTCTACTCCAGACTGCTGCAGTCAAGAAAAACACAGGGAGAGGGAGGTTGGGGATAACTGGGTGGGGGACATGGGGTACAAATGCAATTTGTGGTAATGGGTATGCTGCCAGTATGAATCTGGCCCTCACATCATGGGCATGAGGGGTGACAATCAGCTTTGTATCTCATGAATATTCATAATCAATTTTTTTTTTAAAAAAGAACACAGGGTTCGTTCACCTCCCTGCTCCCAGTGAGAGGGCTTTCTTTCAGGAGTAGGAAGTCAGCTTACATCATCCAGTCCTCTGCTACCTGTTGCTAAGGCTAAGTTCCAGGTGAGTAGAGAGGTGGGAGCCCCCTTTTTCTGCCCTGCTCCAATTCATGCCCATTCAAAGACTCTACCTTGAGCACTGGTACAACTGAGAATATTGGAGTACTACTGGTGGCCCTTGCCCCAACTTGTGAGGCAGTGGCTCCACCACCAGGAAAGGCAAATCAAGAGGACCTCAGGCTACTGCCCTACTCTTCACCACCATGTCACTAAGCACTCAGTACCTAAAGCAGGATGTCACTCCGAGAAAAGCCCTAGCTTAGAGACTTTGCCTGACGATAAAGATAGAAATAGATCATAAAACAGATTAACTCCTAATCTCTTCCCAAAGGAACAGACTTCATTGGTACCAGAGAATGGAGAAGTTCAAGCCTTTGGGCACTCTCCAGAACAGTGGAAAATGTGGTGAAAGACAAATGGAAGAAGATTCATGGATTTAATGAAGATACAGTTTAAACTACAGGCTAGATAGTTTGTAGGAGAGAAGTAGGGAATAAAAAATCTGGGAAGAGACTTCTTAGGGTCAGAACAAATATCAAAAATGAACTCCAGAAATCATGCCTTTGAAGAAGCCAAAATTTAATTAGTTTGCAGACCAATTTATGCTCCAGGGCATTGCTGAAAACAATAGAGTAATCGACTGGCAGTTAGTGGAGTTTAACATTTAGGTGTGGTCAAGGATGGAGAGGAAGAGGGCCCATACCAATACCACTGTGACCTTGGGCATACCTAGAGCTGTGCCTCCCTTAGGCGTAATGTCAGAGGTTTAACACTGTGTAGGTGGGTGGGGGGCAGGGGGGTGGAAGAGAAGGAATAAAAAGACTTCACTAAAATAATTGGTCCAGTAACTAAACAAATAATCAAGCAAATAACAATGACAAATCTTTAGGAGGGAGACCAG